CCATGAATCTTCCTGGGAGTAAAGGGAGGCCAGCGCGTAAGGCTGACAACCTCGTCGCCATATGTGAGGCCTTCAGCCTCTCACAACCCTATGGGCCTCCATGGCCTGTTACAGGGATAACTTTACCATTTTCTTTAACTGTTGCCTTTGAAATACTGGATGAATCATAACGGAATTTGATGTTCTCTGTTCTACAACAAAAATGTTCCCTTGCATTTCCCAAAATCGGTTCATCAGTAAGAAACATAAATGTACATAAGGCATTCCGTATAGAAAGTTTTAATGATCAGATCTAGTTTTACAGGGAATTGTTTTTAAGGGAAATTTAATCTTTCGATTTGAGAACTTAAGAGCGTATATAATTCAAGGAATGCCTCCAAATGTTAAATTCAAAATATCACAGATTTTCCCCTTTCTATATCTACCTAAATATTGAAATAGTTTCTATAGAAATATATAGCGTCAGGGAAATGCAGCTGACCGCTCGCCTCAATCCAGCGCAGGGGTTAAGAATGCGTGGAGGTAATACATCCACTCCCCAATACATATTCATGGAGTGTTTAATTAATCTTATGTCCATTTTACTTTTACATGAGCATGAACCTAGGACTCTGACCATAAGAAAACTATATGAATCAAAGTAATCACTTGCTATGTTTGAGTACAGTGTCCACGATAATACATATACGTAATATGGCAGAGAAAATTACACAGTGAGGGGCTTCATGAATTGTAGGCTACTAGAGAAGACCAAGGACGACGAGACTGACGGGACAAATACATACACGATTTGAGTTGGAAACCCTTACGGAGAAGACCACCTGGTAGATCTAGCCACAGATGGGAGGCATTAAGGATATGAACGTTTGGGATAAAAGGCCCTTGAGAGGGGAGGGGGTGATTTCTTGACTAGCTGAGCGAGTATCATTGTCTGAAGCCGCTTGCATGGCGTACGGGATATACGGGGGGGGNGGGGCTTCCATAGCTCAGGCTGTTAGTCGTCAGCGGTCCAGCTTGGATCCTGTCAGGTAATGTAGGATTTGTGGACAAAGTGGTACTGGGGCAAGTTTTCTCAGAGTATTTGTTTCCCCTGCCAATTCTCATTACAGAAAATGCTCCATATTCCTATATCATCAGAGACTGGTGAAATGGGTACCAAGTGGACTTCAGCCCATGAATTAAAGAAAGGTGCATTTGACCAACATTCTCACTTCGACGATGAAATCAAGGAGCACAGATAAATTACCTTCCGGTCATACGTTCATTTCACGCGGTATGTACAGAACGCATAGAAAAGACAGACGGGAATCACGCAGAAAGTAAATGTTCATAGATATGAAAACTGGTACGGAAATTGAAATGACGTACATCCGGTGTCGTCTATGATATTCAACTCTTCTATCGATTCTTGTGCTAATTGTTTCCGGCGACAGGTCGATATTGTGGTTTGAGCCACAACTCCACGTGTGGCTGCTGTTTATATTCAAATTCGGTCAAAGAATTGTTGGAGGCGTCGTTTTCTATGCGGTTCGTCCCGTATCAAACGAAACTAGGAGATTAGTTCTTCCCAGAACTTCTGTTAAATATTATTCTCCCCTATATGTGGCTCAGTCTTGATATCAATTTAGTCCTGGCTTCGATTAATGAATTTTCTGAAGAAAGCAGTCTTCTGGGATATGGCGCCGTGTAGATATTGTGTTAACCGACGTTTCGGAGGAATGTATAGCCCACATCTTCAGGGTAGAAGGGAAAAGAAGAAAATCCGCAAGCAAGGAACCAGCCTGAGCAGGTTCTAACAGACTACCCTGAAGACGGAGGTGCTACGTTCATCCGAAACGTCGGTTAACACAATATCTACACGGTGACATCCCAGGAGACTGCTTTCTTCATAGTCACCGCAGTGAAAACCTCAAATTTTACACAATGAACTTTCTGTTCACGCATAGAACATGATTTGGCGGCAAAAAGTTTGGGGGTTCAAATCTTAAAAACTTGAAGTTATAATATGGTTCATTCAAGAACAAAAATATGAATAAGTTGTAGTACAAAATTCTACAAGCAACACTCTACAGCAACTACAGCAGTCAGTATCAAACTCAAAGTCACTGTTGAGTGACCGAACTAAAACTATGTCCCCCCCCACCAAAAGAAAACAATTCTGCGAAACAGTAACAGATGAATAACTCGGCGAGTATTTCTTTGTTCCATGGACTCTAAATGCGGCCTTATTTCTTGCAAGGCTGTCGTTTTAATTGATAGCATTTTAATGAATAAAAAAACGGACCCTTAACGGACTATTCGCTTTCCAAGTTAGCCCTTGAAAACTTCTTGAGTTGAAGAAAACGAGAAAGATCAAAAACCCGTAGAACCCCCCCGCTTTCTTCTTCTTCTTCTTTTTTTTTCATTACATCAGCTTTTGTGTATGTTTTATTTGCTTTAATTTTGCGCTCGTTGCAACCGGCAGCGCTATCTAATCGGCGAGAAAATTAAAGCACCAGAGAGATCTTTTAAAAAGAAACGCTGAAGTGTATACAAGGAGTTACATAAAGAAGATTTTGCTAATTAACGAGGAATAATTTATCCACCTCACTAACTTGCTCTAGCGGGGTGTAATGAAACCATCAAGGAATACAAGACAAACGGGACGAGAGTTTCACCCGCGCGGTACAATGTGGATCAGACGGGGGAGAACGTATTCACAGTGCAGAACGCTCTGCAGTCTCGTCCAAGAATGGTTTAGGAGTGTGTTCTCAATTCTTGACTTAGAGGTCAAATATGGCCGCGCCATAACTCAAGCGGTTAGTCGCTGGCTTCCCACCGCGGCGGCCCGGGTTCCAACCCGGGTCTGGTCAACTGCGATTTGTGATGGACAAAGTGGCGCTGAGTCGACGGTAGCCGAGCGGTCTAAGGCATGTACTGTCTTCGTTCGCTTGGAAACCGCGATCGTGGGTTCGAATCCCACTCAGGGCATGGATGTTTAGTTTGGTTGTGTGCGTTTTTCTGTGTTTGTGTACAGGCAGAGGCCTTGCGACGAGCTGATCACCCGCCCAACGAGTCCTACCGAATGTGTAAGATCTAGAAAAACCGAAGTGAACTGAGAAGTTCATGGAGGCAGGCCTAGGCCCACTGGGGCTGTAGTGCTAAGGGGGGGAAAAAGTGGCGCTGAGGCGGGTTTTCTCCAAGTACTTCGGTTTCCCCTGCCAATCTCCATTCCACCAAATTCTCCGTCATCATAATCACCCGGGGCAGGCTACAATAGGCCAATCAGTGGCCGCCGTGCCGAGTGGACTCAGTTGGACTTCACCCCCCACTAAGCGAATTAATTAAAATTAGAGGTCAAATATCCAGTTTAACTGGCTACGAACTTAGTAGCTCATGATCTTTGTTATGGCTAAAACCGTAATATTATGAAATTCGTGACGTCTGCACGAGACGATGCAGAGTATAATGTAATTTGCAATTAGACTCCATACCAATGATAGCGGTCTAATCCGTCTGGCCTGCTTCGATTTCGTACTAATTCTGAAACAGTCTTTTAGATTCTAATGGGTTCTGATGATGGTTGATGACACACAGAATACCGGGTTTTTGGACGTCTTCCATCGTTTGGGACACGACGTTTCGGAAACTGGATCTGTTTCCGTCTTCAGGTGACGAAGGAAGACACCTACTCAGTTGGGCCCCATAGAAAGAGCTAATCTTAACGACTGGACGACAGACCAACTCTGGCCTGTAAGTTTACTACAAAATTCCTCTTGCTCACAGCGCTGGAGGCACTCAGTCAAATTTTGTGGGACATGGGATAATGTTTCCTGTCTGCGACGCGCGTTGACTATGAAAACAGTTCTGTTGGCTTCTTCAGTATTCTGGAACAACAGAGTCTGCTGTACACACACACACACATATCCATACCAAAATCAATCAATTGTTAAGGAAGTTTTCTAAAGCTGTTTAAGGGTGTGACCAGTCTCGCTCCCAAAATTAATGCTGGGACCCAAGACTAATGTAAACACGGACACCATACGGGATAGCATTTGTTTCTGCTCAACGTGTGGAATAAATTCATATAGAATGTTCGTATGAAAGGTATCCAAAATAAAAAATGTATATCTCGGAAACTGTCATACACGTATCCGGTTTAAGTCATCGGAAGGAAAACTCTGAAAGTTTTTTTTATAACCGGCTTACGCGCATGCGCCCCCACATTTTTGCCACCATGTTAGGAATCACCTGGACAGAGAGATGGCTGGGATATGAATTGGCCCCCATAGGTCGCCAGATTTAACCCCAGTGGATTTTTTCTTGTGGGGTTATGTAACGAACATTGTCTACAGGTCAAGATCAACGAGCTTCAACACCTGAAAGCCCGCGTAAGGGACGCTGTAGCTACGGTAACACCAAATATGCTTCAAGCCTGGATATTTGCCATGCCACCAAGGGAGCCCACATTTAAATTTATTGAGAAAGTTATATATGCAAAAAGAAACTTTGACAGTTTCCCTTCGTAGTGGTGTAACCCATTAATGTGTATAATAAATTCTTTCTGAGATATAATAATTTTATTTTGGATATATTTCATCCGGACATTCTGTATATCTTAGGGGATAGGCTTCAGACTTAACCGGATTGTCTTTTGATTTTCTTGCTTGAGAAATTTTTGATTTACTCGTATAAATTTAAGTAAGACATCTCACTTGCCATACACACTGAATTATGTTACTACATACATTTCTTTGCGAAATCCGTAGGATTCTGAGCAACAGGGATTCCAAAATGATGGCCCACGAAAAAAAAAACAGGGCATTAATTTGGCTTAAACGCATATCAGTTACAAAATTTCTTCCATTTTCTAAAGACAATTCAAGCACTCTAGGATAATTTAATTGTGTGTACCAGTCTGTACTTAAAACTTTTATTTTCAACGTTCTTTATCTTCAAGTTTGGAACAATTTTTAATCCTTGAATGAAACGAGTATGATAATGAAATAATATGCACCGTATAAGTTTAGTTAAAAATATGTTTTATTGTTTTATACATAACTAAAAAGAACATCAGTTATGAACCTTGTCACATAACTGTTTGGGGGGATTTTTTAAACGTATGCCTCAAAATTCAGTATAAAGTCTGTACAATTAATGGTCCATGGACCATAATGATTAAATGTCCCATACCACTGAGATGTTACACTGGTATGTTTCATCGTGTAAAATACTCGTATGTGAACACAACAGGGATAAATTAGTCTGAAAGCAGTTCACAATTTAAAAATACTGGATGTCAGAATGTCTATTTAAATTCTCTTGTAGATCCAAGAACAGTTTCTTCAGCAACTGAGTACTGATTTGTGGTTATAAGGTTAGTTTTCACTATCACACACACACACCTCCGTACATTTAAATATTTTGAAATATAGTCTAGAGTTTAAAATGTTTTTAAATTTTAGCTTGAAAATTATCCTCAGGCCAAAATTTCTGTTATTTAATATGTTTCATAATAATTTATGTTTACAAGCATGGCATTCGACGTAACAAATTCACCTCAGAAGAGGGAAACATTTGAAAATACATATTCGGAAAATCCAACTTATTTTAATGGACAGCCTTAACATTGTTTGTAGATCTATGAAGAAACTTCTTCAACATGTTGATTAATGATTTATGATTAAAAGGCTGGTGTTCACTTCCACAAACTCATTTCAGAACAGTTAAAAATTTTTAAAAAAGTTCCAACGGAGACCTTGAAAATCTGCCTCAGACTAATATGTTTTGGTTTCTTTGTTGTGTAAGAAGGTGGAAATTCAACAGGGGTTAGAAATGCAGAAGTAGTTCTTGTGCTGATCTACTTCTTGTACACGTAACTCTCCGCTCCGCCGCGCCCAAAGCCTGCAACAGACGTACAACACAATGTAAAGGCACATTGGACCAACAACGGGCAGTACATTTGCGCTCTTCACCAAGTCTTATTATGTGGCTCAAATCACGGGTAACAAATGTAGCACGCATAAACGAGACGAGAAATGTATACAAAATATTGGTCGGAAAGTCTCAGGGCAAGAGAAGACTTGAAAGGCATAATCTTAATTATGCTAAAAGCCGGAAGGTTGCGGGGTCGATTCCCGATGAGGTCATCGGATTTTTTCAATTTACCTAATCCTTCCTGCCGCACTGTGGCCCTGGGCTCGATTCAGGCTATAACAGAAATGAGTACCAGGAATCTTCCTGAGGGGTGAAGTGTGACCGGCGCGTAAGGCTGACAACCTCACCGCCATCTGTGAGCCGACTGTCTTGAGAAAATGTGGGAACCTTAACATCTCACAACCCTATGGGCCTCCGCGGCATGTTACAGGGATAGCTTTGCCTTTTTACCTATTCGTAAATGGAAGTCTATTGTTAGAAGGGATTTTGGAGAGTTCACGCCCCAGTCGCTTTACCTCCGGATAAACAGCCCCCGGTACCAATTTGATAGGATGGGTGGGCCCCAAAGCCGGTCTGGACGATGTGGAGAAGACAAAATTCTGACCCTACAGGGACTAAAACTCCGACCCTCGGCCGTAGACAGTCGCTATACCGACTGTTAGGCCATTGAGGACACAGTTATGAAGAGAAACACTTACTCATGGAGCTGGGCCCTTCCGGAGGAGCCGCCAATTCTGCAGCTACTCAAGAATTTCCCAGCGTTTTATGGAACCCGAAGGTTCATCACCGTGTTCACAAGAGCCCTCCACTGGTCCCTATCCCGAGCCAGATCTATCCAATCCATACCATCCCATCCTATCTAAGATCCATTCTAATATTGTCCACCCACCTACACCTTGGTCTTCCAAGTGGTCTCTTTCCTTCTGGCTTTCCCACCAATATCCTATATGCATTCCTAGTCTCCCCATTCGTGCTACATGCCCTGCCCACCTCATCCTCCTTGACTTCATCATTCTAATTATACTTGGAGAGGAGTACAAGTTATGAAGCTCCTCATGAAGAGAAACACTGCAAAACAAAATCCCGGTAAACGAATCCCAGGCTCCAAATCCATACTGAGACCCGCCCATGACTATGCCGGATCTGATCTGACTGAGCCAAGTCATTTCTTATCGGTGCCCTTAATACACAGTCCGAACCCCATGCCTCGGTGTCTACGCTCGCCGAAATACCGGCTACACAACGACCCTTCATCTGTCGTTCTAACTCCAGACCCATCGTCTGTGCCTACCAGTCGATCAAGTGTGCCCACTCACATATCGTCTGTGCTTACCAGTCATGTGACCACTGACCTATCGTCTGTGCTTACCAATCGGTCATGTGCCCACTGACCTATCGTCTGTGCTTACCAGTCATGTGCCCTCTGACCTATCGTCTGTGCTTACCATTCGGTCATGTGTGCCCACTGACCTATCGTCTGTGCTTACCAATCGGTCATGTGTGCCCACTGACCTATCGCCAGTGCCTACCAGTCACGTGCCCACTGACCTATCGTCTGTGCTTACCAGTCACGTACCCACTGACCTATCGTCTGTGTTTACCAGTCATGTGCCCTCTGACCTATCGTCTGTGCTTACCATTCGGTCATGTGTGCCCACTGACCTATCGTCTGTGCTTACCAATCGGTCATGTGTGCCCACTGACCTATCGCCAGTGCCTACCAGTCACGTGCCCACTGACCTATCGTCTGTGCTTACCAGTCACGTACCCACTGACCTATCGTCTGTGTTTACCAGTCATGTGCCCACTGACCTATCGTCTGTGCTTACCAATTGGTCATGTGTGCCCACTGACCTATCGCCAGTGCCTACCAGTCACGTGCCCACTGACCTATCGTCTGTGCTTACCAGTCACGTGCCCACTGACCTATCGTCTGTGTTTACCAGTCATGTGCCCACTGACCTACCGTCTGTGCCCACCAGTCGATCATGTGTGCCCACTCACCTATCGTCTGTGCTTACCAATCGGTCATGTGTGCCCACTAACCTATCTTCTACATCCTATAATCAGTAGCCATAGCCCCTGGACATGACATCTGAGTCTTGCAACGTGTCCGCCATGTTGTACTGACCTCCAGGCCCGTAGAGTGCGGAGTAGCAGGGCTGGTGACAGTACGGCTTGCCGTCGTGCTCCGCGTGACCCCCGGGTGTCAGCGTCTTGTTGCACTTCTCACAGCGAAGACAGGCGCTGTGCCAGTCCTTCCCCAACGACGTCTTCCTCTCCGCTGTGGACACAAAGACAGAAACTGAATCTGACGTTTCACTACGTACTTGCACAAGCCCGCCATCTACCGCCCCTCGTTTGAAATAACTGAGAATAATTAGAGCCTTCCGCTTCAGAAAAGAGTGCAAAATAGTCATGGGGATCCGGTTTTGTATGATTTTATTGTCGCTGGTACAAAGTATGTGACCAAAATACACCTTGAAGAGGTAAGGCTTTCCCTGTGCGTAATTAATTATGCACTATGCTATGGAGGTATAGCTTAGCTTAACGCCCCGGTTACTTTACCCTGGGGGAAGAGTCTCACGGTACCAACTGGATAGGGGACTGGCTGTACCTCGGAGCCTGTCTGGACGCTGTGGAGTAAAGAAAAATCTCTTGCCCCTGCCGAGAACTGAACCCCAACCATCCACCCCGTAGCCTGCCGGTGTACCACGATTCCGTGAAGACACGTCTGATCATGAGTTTGAGCTATATTTTTTTGACTGATGACGAGACAACAAAGTTCGCGTCTCCAATGGAAAATCCAGTTACGGAGCCCGAAGAGTGAACAGTAAAATAAAAAGTCAGATCTACACTCGTGTGTTTCTTAGTGCGCAAAGTATTACCCATTAACAGGTTAATCCTCTGAAGGAGCGAACCAAGCATTAAACCATCAAGTTCTAGAATGGTAGGGCCACATATTACAAATGGATCTCGTATCATGACAATGCTTCCCCACACAGCACTCTCGTCAAGTGATGCTTACAGGCACTCCAATGTCACTACACAAACATCCTGACGCAAAGTGAGTTCTCTTAAGGACACAGTTATGGACTTCCAGTGTAATCCTGTCTGCAAGTGTCCTCGACCTCCGTCCCAACGCCATAATTTCAGACATAAACACAATGCATAATTATGGAGGCGTGTAACTAATTCAACAGCTGAAATGTGGCAACAAAATGGCGGCAGAAGATTCCATAAGCAGACCCCTTCAATTGGTGGAGTGATAAAATGGGTAGGAGATGTAGCACGCATCGGGAACTGATACAAATTTTGGTTGGAAAGTCTATAAAGAGAAACGACTTCGACTAAAATTTCATGCATTTTTGTAATAACATTTATTGTGTGGACGTGGAAGGGAAAAGGCCCAAACGAGAAACGAACATACTTTTCCCCAGAATTTTCTATTTTTTGTACACAAAACAAGTAAGTAAAAAAAAGTAAAGGTATTCCTGTAACAGACCGTGAAGGCCCATAGGGTTGTAAGATGTTGAGGCTCCCACATTTTCTATACAATCGGTTCACAGATGGCGGTGAAGTTATCAGCCTTACGCGCCGGCCGCCCTTTACCCCCAAGAATATTCCTGGTACTCATTTCTGTTAGAGGCTGAGTCGACCCCAAGGCCATAGTGCGGCTGGATGGTTTAGGTAAATACACAAAACAAAATCAAAGCAAATGTATGTATCTGCATGTTGGGTTCACTGTTCACTTTGTAACCTTATCACGTTACTACCCAGTTGCTACAACATGGCAGCGTACAGGGGGCGCGGAGGTAACCGTCGCTATATTCTAGATCCTAGGAAACGAATGAATACGACAACTTCACTGGATGCTGTTAGCCGCGGAAGCAATCTTGATGCAGTGAAGAGAGTAACAGATGTCCCTGTCAGGATCTGAACCTCGGTCTTGCTTTGCCGGCCACGGTGCGAGTCCCTGCTTAGTGCTGAAGCCCATATCCTGTGACTGCAGTCTGCTACTGGCCTCGTGACGGAAGGCGTGACAGCTTCACAGATCTCTGCGGAGAAGCGAGGGGGAGCAAAATGTAGTGGAACTAAAGACCTCCCGCTACGAGATCCACCGTGTACTCGCAGGTTGATTAGATACTTGGCAACTTTTTCTGGGGGTTTCCGCTTGAGCGAGCATCTCCGCCTTGTTTATTGTGCCCACTGATGAACCATGACAACATTAACAAGTGAGCATCTCATGTTCACACTGCCGAAGCAAGAGGCCAGGATTTATGAGTTTAAATTTCATAGACTTTATTTCAAGCGATTAGTAAAATGGTAAGGGGGAAGCTATTGCTGTAACAGTCCGTGGAGGCCAATAGGACTGTGAGACGTCGAGGCTCCCACATTTTCTAGACAATCGGCTCACAGATGGCGATGAGGTCAGCCTTACGCGCCGGCCGCCCTTTACGCCCCAGGAAGATTCCTGGTACTCATTTCTGTTAGAGGCTGAGTGGACCCCAGGCGACTGGTTTGGGGAATTCTTGTTCTGCTTGAGATATTCCTGAGGGGTTAGAGCACAATTAAAGGCGTTACCGTAGTCAGTACAGTGACTGAGGAGTCGGCGTTCGAGTCCCGGTAGGGTCAAGAATTATCTCTGCTCCAAATCGTCCAGACTGCTTCTGGGGTCCACCCATTCTCCTATCTAAAGGGTACCGGGGGCACTTTGACCGGGGGTAAAGCAACCGGGGCGTGAAGCTGACGATTCACCTCCAGCTAGTGCAGAAGTCAATAGAGTATCGATCTATACATCCATTCAACAATAAGCCTTCATGGTGTAGTGTTTAATTCGGCGAGCACAGGGACAACTTTACCTTTTACCTTATTAAAAATTAATATTCTTTAAACTGAACGTGATTACACAATACGAGTGAACAGTCACAGGGATGTCTTTGTTTGCAGACATCCTTTATCCATGCAGAAATTTTCAAGAACGGGTTTCTCTTCCTTAGGATAGCTATCCAAGGTAGTTTATGACTTCCATTTGTGAAACATCATAAATATTAGGTTTGAAATTAAGAAGCTGGACAGGAAAGGTTTCATTACACTAGCGCTCCTAGCAGAACTTATCCGAAGTTTAACACAACTGAATATCGTTTTCCGCATTTAAACGGAGAATATGTTAACAGCAACAAAAGATATGAGATCAAACGCAATTTAGTTAATAAAATAATTAAATAATAACGAAAATGCCTATAGGGAGACCTAAGTATAGATGATACTATTAAAATGTAACAAAATTAATTAAGTACGAGAGCATGGTCTGGATTCAACTTGTTCAGAATAGGTTCCAGTAACTGGAATATAGATAAATCTTCGGGTTTCTTAAAATGGGGGGGGGACGTCTTGATAACTAATGATAGCATCTCCATTCTGAGGAGTTTGCTGGTAATCACATTTAAATATTTTAAAGTAATATTTCTATCGGTAGAAATTATAAAGAGTTTAATTTCTGTAATGATTTGATTAAGAACTGTTTTTTTTTTCTTGGCACTACGGCCCCAGTGGGCCTAGGCCTACCTCCATGAACTTCTCCGTTCACTTCGGTTTTTCTAGATCTTACACATTCGGTAGGACTCCTTGGGCGGGTGATCAGCTCATCGCAAGGCCTCTACCTGTACACAAACACAGAAAAACGCACACACACAAACTAAACATCCATGTCCTGAGCGGAATTCGAACCCACGATCCCGGTTTCCAAGTGAGCGAAGAGAGTACATGCCTTAGACCGCACGGCTACCCTGACCGGCAGTGTATAAGAATAATATATAAGAATTCAGTTCGTACCTCACAGGAAACAGATCCGAACCCACGATCCCGGTTTCCAAGCGAGCGAAGACAGTACATGCCTTAGACCGCTCGGCTACCGTGACCGGCAGTGTATAAGAATAATATATAAGAATTCAGTTCGTACCTCACAGGAAACAGATCCGAACCCACGATCCCGGTTTCCAAGCGAGCGAAGACAGTACATGCCTTAGACCGCTCGGCTACCCTGACCGGCCTAAGAACTGTGTTTAGCTGACGTTAATCCAGCAAAGGAAACTGGAGATACATAACTCCCAGGAGAATATTAAAGTGATACGAACGATTTAAGCAAATATATTGGAAACCCAGAGAAAGGTGACATTTAGTGTCAAAGACAGACCTAGGGACCTACAGCCATTGCAGAAGGTTACCCAATAAACTGATAAATGGCGAAATTACAAATTTATTTACATCGCTTGAAGACAAGTCTGGGAGGGGGGGACACCAGTTGGAGATCTCAAATTAGAAGTAACATACTCTTGTTTAAGCCTAGTTCTCTTTACTCAACAGTTGATACGGTGTTTTCAAACAAGCTACGAGCTGATCTAAACATCATGAACGTTATTATTCAAGCAGGAACTGCGCAGTCGCGTATTCATGCTTCTAAGGGCATCAATTTAATTTTCAAAATGTCACTTGTATTATTTTTACTACTAAAACGAACGAGATTGAAAACAAGATTTACGAGTTACGAGCGAATCCCAGGCTATATGTTACACAGCTTTATTGACGTTTTATTGTATCCGCTATCAATTTCTCATGTTGAACATCGTACAGTGAGTGCTCTTCTTTTTCTTACCTGCTGTGAAATTATGACGAACACCATATGGTGCGTTTTTATTTTATTACCTCAAATTATTACACCATGACGTATATAAAGTATGGCTAAGCCCGTTGCTGCCGGTCACGGTAGCCGAGCGGCCTAAGGCATGTACTGTCTTCGCTCGTTCGGAAGCCGGGATCGTGGGTTCGGATCTGTTTCCTGTGAGGTACGAACTGAATTCTTATATATTATTCTTATACACTGCCGGTCACGGTAGCCGAGCGGTCTAAGGCATGTACTGTCTTCGCTCGCTTGGAAACCGGGATCGTGGGTTCGAATCCCACTCAGGGCATGGATGTTTAGTTTGTGTGTGTACGTTTTTCTGTGTTTGTGTACAGGTAGAGGCCTTGCGACGAGCTGATCACCCGCCCAAGGAGTCCTACCGAATGTGTAAGATCTAGAAAAACCGAAGTGAACGGAGAAGTTCATGGAGGTAGGCCTAGGCCCACTGGGGCTGTAGTGCCAAGGAAAAAAGAAAACCCGTTGCTACGTTGATTCCTGGAAGGGGCAAAGTTTTTTCTGTATTCCTCAGGGTCAAGATCGGCTATGGGGCCCAATCGGTAATGGGGGCTCTATTCCCCGGCGCAAAGCGATCGGGACGTGAA